ATATTTATATATATTTATTTATTTTTTATATATCTCAAGCTATAACCCAAATAGAGTTCCAAAAACTATACTTGTATCAGAAAAAGGTATTAAAACATTACTAGAGACAAACAGGACAGTTTAAAATTACATAACAATTATAAACATATATAAGACATATATATCAAGATGACATAAAAACCGTAAACAAATATTCACTACAAAGCCTCAAAACAAAGAAAAATCAGACAAGTATCTCCCCAAAGAATATAAGCAAATGGTCAGTAAGTGGATGAAAATATTTTCAACATCATTTGTCATTAAGGAGAGTTCAAATCAAAGCCATAATCTCTTCATACCTATTTGCATAGTTGTATTAAAAAGATTAACAAAAAGAAGAAATTGGAATTGTCATAACTTGCTCTCAAAAAAAGAGGCAATCATGCAGCCACTATCAAAAAATAGTAAAATAGGGAGTGGAAGTCTGCATTTTCAAAGTGCTACTCGCCTTGAGTAGGTATGTCTTTGCTGCCATCACCTTTGGACACTGGTACCCAGCTTCTTTAGCCTTTCAGTGCACTCAGACCAGCAATTCTCCAGTGAGCTTCTAGATCCTCAGCCTTAGACTAGCACTGCATCCTTTACCTCTGGTTCTGCAGCTTCCTCCTTCTCGGACCAAGCAACTACTGGACTCTCTGGCTCTCCAGTGCACAGATGACCCTGTGGATTCTTCTATTTTAGTCCAGTAACCCTACCTAATAAATTCCCTTTCATAATTATACATATATTCTCTTTCAACTCTGTTCCTCTAGAGAACCCTAACTAAAATTGATTTTGGTAGTGAAAAATAATTGTGAGGATGAAATTCTCTAATCAATTTGTTTAGCGGTTCCTGGAGTTGGCTCCCAAAATTGATGAGACCTAAAGTTGCCATGACCTCTCCTTCTGATGATGCAGAGAGTACTAATAGTCCACATAGACCCACCTGATTATCCTAATTCACTACTTATGAGATGTGAGGGATTTAGTGCCTCTACTCAGTATTTCTTAACATTTTTGAAAGAGTAAGAAATACAGTGATGCTGACAAGGCTCTTAGCATCGCTGGACAAGGTAATAAAGGAAAATAATGAGCTCAAAAATTCAAATTCCCAGCCCCTACATACACAAACAATCGAAAGGCTTCAAAGTATGTCCAGAAGCAAGATCTTTTCTACTTTATCCATAAGGCTTAAGTTGCCAAAGATCAAACATAAGTCCTGGTAATGTGATTAACTGAATTACAGTGCAAGTTTAATATTCACACTAAAAGGGTATTTGCAGTTAAATCAGGTGCTGATTGGAAAGAATGAGATCCTATAAACTAGGTTGGAAATGTTTAGGAGCAACTTGATGAGGCTGAGGCTACTGAACTCCTAAATTTTATTAGATTATTTTGCCAAGGGAAAGCCAATACCCACACTGAATGGCAGAGAAATCCCCACCCTACGAACTATGGTGGTGGCCTTCCCCCTTCTGCCTGAGCAAAGAGTAATGACCTTTCCTGATGTGGTTACCAAGCAAAATACCAACAATATTCCTCAGGACTAAGTTTTGCTTTTAGCCCTATAACCAGGCTCAGAATTTAAAAGGATCTTAAATAAACTGTTCAGAATATGACCCTTGAGAAGGTAGCCTACATTCACAATAAACTTTTTGAATTTTATAATTTTTATAAGCAAAACTTTTTATAAGACAAGTGTTGGAATTAATTTTAAGTGTGGAAGGCAAAGCAGTGGTCTGGCTTATGGAGTTGGCTAATTAGTTGTGGTGTTTCCAGAAGTGAAACAGATAGGAAACTTACTACCTTTTTACGAAATGAACAAAATCTACCTGAAACCACAGTAACAGAGAACCACAGCCCCTCAATCAATTCTGAAACTTTAGCCATTGTACAGACCCAGAATCCCTTGAATGAAGGAGGCTGGGGTCTCTTGAGGAAGGACACTGGTACACTACCAAAAAGTTATACTATCAATCTTTCCCTCATCCTTTCCCAAAGGGACTTACAGCCTTT